TATTAATATTATCTTTCTATTATTATTAGTATAGGGTGACGTTGGAAACGACACGGTACGTGACACTAACAGAAAATGACTATTTACAACAGGGTACGGCCGAGGGAGTCTCTAAACGTCCCGATCGGACGCATCGAGCACTGGAATGCTTCACAAGATAAGCTAGCATTCCAGTCGGTCCGACCTCGAACGCTCTCCTCGATGAATATTCTATTCAGTAGTGTTATCTCGGTCTCTTAAATTCGCCTAACATAAATATAAATACATATATATGTATATATGTATATATGTTTATATATATATATAAATATATATACACATATATACATATATGTATATATATATCTACATGTACGTGTATGTATGTACAATCTTAAACGCGAACGATCGAGTTGCGATTGTTCGGTTACAATATTTCTATACTTTCTTCCCTCTCTTTCGCGTCTCACCTCCATCATTTACACAAGCGCACCATCTTTCTCTCCGTCTCAGATATACTTGCTCGCTCGCATACGCTCTCCCTCTCTCGAACTTTCATCGCGCGATCTAGAAGACGCCGCGCGAGCGTCACTGCCGTTCAACGCGACGCGGAACACAGAATCCTCTCCCCTTGCTTCTTACAATATATACACAACAAGATCCTGGGGCCTCCTCGCTTCCTCGATCGCCCGATCCTAGTTCCCCGCGAGAACCGTCGAAGCCGCGGGGTCGCGACCGTTCGTGTTTCGTTCCGGTTTTCGCTCGTTGCTCGAAGATACTTGTCCCTCACAGAGGCACGAGTGCACGTGTGTCCGAGACCGTTCTCGATTGGTTTCTAACCCGTCGCTTCGATTCGCGAGCAGACTCCCGTGCGACGCCGCTGCGCGTCGTGATCCGTTTCGCCTATGACAGCGAGACACACCGATTACGGGGCATCGCGCAAGAATCGTGTTACATGAAAAAGTAGTCGTCGCGATGATACATCTCGAGCGCGCAGGAACTTGCGTTACACGGGAGTCTGCTGTACAACGTTTCCGTTCGTCTTCATTCTTCGCGCGTTCGTTTGCACCCCTCCGCCCGCCTCCCGCTCCCATTACAATCATCCGCCTACACGCATCGTCGCAATCGCCTAACGCATTCGATTGCTCCCGGAGAGCAACGAAGGATGACGCGCTCTCGACGGGGGGTAGCTAATACTTGGTGGTCGTCGGAGCCTCCGTACTATGATCTCTAATTCCGTTAAGCCGTTCCTCTCCGAGAATTGTCCTAAAGTTTCGTTTCCCGCCCGAGATCCTCGACGGAGTCCCAGAGTCCGCGCAGCTGAACAAGAGAAGGAACGAGAGGAAGGCAGCCAGGACTGACAGAACGCCGGCCAGTGGCCCGGTTACGCTCCCTAGACTTTCACGCCGACCACGTTCTGCCTGAGCCTCGCGATCGCCGGCAGGTAATTGGCCGCGACGGTGTCCTCGTCGTCGCTGCTGTCGGAGTCCGACTCGGGAAGCGGCTCCGGCGTCGCGCCCAGCCGCACTAGTTCCCTGGCTAGTTGGCTGTCCAGGCACAGGGCTATCTGGTAGGCGGTGATGCCGGCGTACGTCTGCGTGTCCAGGCAGGGCCTGCACTCTTGGAGCAGGAATGCGACCACGGACCTGCAGCCGCGCTCCACGGCGAGGTGCAGCGCCGTCTTCCCGGCCAACGCCTCCCTGGCTTCGAGGTCAGCTCCCAAACGCAGCAGGAGACGCACCAGCTCTACCTGGCCCGATGAGGCTGCTATGTGTAGGCACATCTCACCTGGAAAGGGAAACGATCACGAACGTTAGAACGGGAGAACATTCGAATCGGAAGCTTAAGTTTCTATGGTAACGATCGGTTCGGACAGGCAATGAGGAAGTGGGAATTCGGCAACTAGGGCAGCGACGAGCACTGGAATCTCTACGTTTTAACTCTGGAATTTCTTCGATAAGACATTCTTCTTATTTCGTTGTTCGTTGCACGGCGAATCGTTGAGAAGGAAATTGCAAGCATTCGCGATTTCCGTAATAGCAAACGCTATTTCATCAGCATTCGTGCAGCGGACGCAACGCTAAGCATATAAATTCCAAGCTGAGGTTCAAGACACAACAGTGAATCTACCGTCCACTCATCAGCCGCGAGTGACATCATCAAGGGGTTAATTAGCTCGCGCATCATCTTCACGGTACTCCGAATAAAAAAGAAACTAAGAACGAATCGGAATCCTCGGACGGTCCAATCACCGTTGGCAGTCGCGTCGATCGAGTCCGGAGGTTAATCAGCTAGAGTATCATCCTCGCGGCGCAATAAATGGAAGAAAGTGAAGCGGGAAGGAGAAAAAGGAAACAAACATCGCGACACGCGGATGAACTCGGCACCGAGGCTCGGGAGCATTCTTAAAACGTTGCTAATGGCGCCGTCGAAATTAGAAGGCTAGGCTCGCATTGTGACCGCTCGGAACGTATTTAGACGGGATTTCTATTTCTTAATCGAACGAAGTTGACAGGGGAGGGGGGGCCACGGCGGGCGCGCACTTCAGAATGATGCGACCGAGTCACATGCTTCTAGAAGATATACATAGAACTAGGAAGACGCGGTGAATCATTGTCGTCGGAGGTTTGGCCGTCGTCCCACGGTCCAAACTAGGTTCGTACCGATCAAAGGCGCGTACCGCCTAAAATTAACCAACCCCTTGTTACCGGCGGCCAGCGGCCGCGGTGGCGGCGGACCGCGTGCCGTCCGCGGAATTTAATCGGCGATCCCGATCGCGGATACCTCCGGCGAGCCTCGAACCTTAACTCTCCGAGGCGCGTAATTTTAATTTAATCCGAATATTACTCAACCAACCGAATTCTCAAAGATCTCAACGCGAAGACCTTGGTACACGTAACTTTGAACCACGCGTTCCAGGGTCGGCGGTGCAAACAGGTTCGAAAGGGAAAAACCGACGCCTCGAATCGCATTAAAACCTAAAAACGTTTCCACCGCGTGAAATCTCTGCTCCTTCGTTCGCCCGGAAAGGGGACTCATCGGCGACATTCGTCGGCGCGGTCACAATGCCACGCGTCCGCGTGTCACGCGGAATTTCCCGGCGCGATATCGACGGATTAGCAATTGAAA